CGCCCCCCATCCTCCCTTGCTGCCTCTCTCTGATAGAGGAAAAAAGGGCTGGCGGGGGAAGCAGCTAGTCGAGTCATTACTCAACTACCTAATAAGCATATGCTTATCAGGTAGTAGTCAATTAGTCACTTACATCCTTAAATCACATAGAAAGAGTAGGTAGCTTTAGACTCCAAAATGGATGCCATTCAGGAAAATCATGCCTTCCATCCTCCCTTGCTGCCTCTCTCTGATAGAGGAAAAAAGGGCTGGCGGGGGAAGCAGCTAGTCGAGTCATTACTCAACTACCTAATAAGCATATGCTTATCAGGTAGTAGTCAATTAGTCACTTACATCCTTAAATCACATAGAAAGAGTAGGTAGCTTTAGACTCCAAAATGGATGCCATTCAGGAAAATCATGCCTTCCACCCAACTTGCTATACATAAACAGTCACTCATTGTCTGCACCACTGCACTACCATTCCTACTATTAAGTAGCATTTAAAAATGAGCAAATAGTTTATGTCCCAGGGGGGCATGAGCCTAGAATTGCTCATTATCAAATAAAAAGGGACTTGGGAGTACTTGGTATCACTTAAACTTACTGTTACCAAGAAAGGACCAATAGTAAAGGGATCCAAACAGATTCCTGTCCAACCCCCTGCCTTTGGCTAAGAAAAATGATTGCAACATGGGGTCCTCACTGGTATTAGAAGCCCTGGGAAGACCATGTTGGGGAAAGGAAGGTCTCTTATAAAAATACAAATTAAGTGTGTGTGTTGTGTGTACACACGAGAGGCTTTATATATTCATTTTCTCTGTCTCTCTCTGTCTCTCTCTCTCTCTCTCTTATAAAGGTTCTCTGGCGCTTTCTATTATAAGACCTAGATTCATTTGCTTATGACTTTGCAAGACTATAATAATTTTCATTTAAATTTTCTATAGAGGTTGTCTGCCTCAGGCTGTATTTTTCTGGCAAATTTATTCTGTAATTATTTCCAATTATGAATCTAGGGAAAAGTAGTTCGTGGCCATATTAAAAAAGTCTGACAATCTTTTCTTTAAAATGTCCACATGCTTTTGAGCGGAGACTTGAATTGTAGCAAGGGGTGGCCTTTGTGCTGAGAATTTGCCTTGTGCTGTCCCCATGAAAATCTGTTCAAATTTTGCCCATTTATAAGGCATTGCATATGATCAGTTGATACTGGGTTACAGCTAAAATCCCCAGAGATTGTTTGCACTGAGCATGCTCCAGCCTAGAGCTAATGAGGGCTGAGAAGGACTTTCCCTTCAATAGCAGCATTTCCTGGCTGCCTCAGTCCATGATGAGTTCATGTCCTGGCACTTGAACTGAGAGGAGACTCTCTTGCAGGGCCTGTGCAGCGTGGAGGAGGAAGTCACATGAATCAAATGCAAAGGAGACAAGAGCTGGATCTGAGGATGAGAAGTTGTAAGAGAGATGAGAAGACTGATATTGGAGTCAGGGAGGAAAATAGAGGGATAGGTGATTGTGACAGGATGACAAACAAGGGGAATTTGGAACTGGATGGATAAGAAGGCTGGAATTAAGAACAGTGGGGTGAGAGATAAGCAAGACAGGTCTCATGAGGAGCCACACTATGGAGGGATAGCTGGGACTGTCTGGGGTAAGAGGTACCAACTGGGGAATGCTGAATGAAGGGAGACTGGGACTGGAAGGCAGTGGAGACAGGGAATACAGATGTGGAGGTGACTAGAGACTGGGAGTGGGTCAGGGAAGAGAGAGCAGATGAGAAGCCAGGGTAGGTGGCTTGGAAGGGGAACACAAAGATTGGGATGGTGGTGGAGACTGGATGTGACTTGGGAAGGAGACGGGGGTGCAGAGTTCAGATGATGAAACTAGGATGGGATGGGTAGGAGACTGGGCCTGGGATCAGAAGCCTGAGGAATAGAGACTAGAATTGGCTAGGTGAAGGGAACGGGACTGAGACGAGACAGCAGTGAGACAAGAAGTAATTGTCAGGAGCTGCACAGGAAAGGGTCAAGCTTCAGGGAAACAAGCCTGAAATGGAACCCAAGATTCCAGAGTTTCTCCTTTACTCCGTTTGTCAGAAAATATCAGTGAACCTGTTTGTAAAGTGTGTCATCTCCCTATGATCCACATAGAGAATAAAATCTACGGGAACTGCCTAGTTACTCTAACTTACGTGGCAGAAGTCTTTATGGTGGATTTTATGGTTCCAACCTGGTTGTTGGCCCTTCTGAGTGTCCGGGTGAAGCCACACGATGGAATTTGGTTTTGTAGGTTTTTTCATTAGTTTTTTTGTGTGTGATCTCTCGTGTTAAAAAGACATTATTAAGGTTGCACTGAAATGTTAGCAAATGTTGAAATTAAGGCCATTCTTACCTTAGTATCCTTGTAGATAAGGTCCTTCATTACATGATCACTCACTGCACTTGACTTCCAACCTTAATACAAATATTTTAATGTAGCTTTTCTTTGTGTAATAACTCGACACAGTTTACATTAACTGCATGTTATTTTCTTTGCCCATTAAAATGTGCATTTTTGTTTTAATATGGCCAACATTCCCTGTTTATATGCTATGTCTTTGCTGATTATGGAGTTGGCCAGTTGGTAAAAAAAAATTGTTTTAATGTGTTAAGTTTGCATTAAAATGTGTTGTAAATTCTAATAAGTAAATGGATGATCTAAGCTTAAATGTGTTCTAGGAAGTTACAGTATAAAAAGGGTATCTTTCATGCTTACTGTACACAGTTCCAGCTTGAACTAAAAGCTACCTCTTGAACTAAAAGCTACCTCAAGTGGTTAAAAAAATTGCTATGAAAATAATTACATTAGCTGATCATACCATATTTTAGAATTTCAAGAGTTTATTGCTTAGAATTTCATACAGACCAGCAAATTATGTCGATTTCTTTTGAAAAAACAATTGACTTTGGAGATGTACAAATGAATAAAAATTCAGATGAATTTAAAATATATATTTTTATGCAGTTGAAGACAGTGAACTGCCAGATTTTGACTATCTGCGCACCATGACTCACATAGTGCTGGTGGACTTAGACAACTGGGGAAGGTTTTTCATTCATCTGCCAGCCAACTTGAACCAAGGGACATTTGTGTGGGGCTTTCAAGGTAAAAGTTACTTAAGTTAATCACACAGAGGGCATAACAGAAATCCATATAAATACACTAACTTGGAACTAAACTTAGCAAAGAGCAGGATCTTCACAGTAGTCTTAAGTGGATCTCCTAATGCAAGTGTGGGTAAAATACAGCCCTTGTGCTGCATCTGGCCCACCAAACACTTGTATCCAGCCTGCCATGGCCCAGCAGGACCCTCGGGAAGGCTCCCTGGCTGCCGTGGCCCTGCACACTGCTCAAAATGTATGGCTTTTGCGGCCAGAGTGTGCATCTCTGTGCAATGTGCCCCTTGGTGGGCATGCAGTCTCCACACCCTGCCCTCACCCTCAGCATCTTCCTGCAGCACCCACAGTCCCTTCCTAAGGGCATGCTACACAGGCGTACATGTTGGTCCCAGCAGCCAGCTGCTTCGAGTGGCATGTGGGGCTGTAGCAGCCAGGGAGCCTGCCCAATGGTCCCGCTAGCCCATGGCAGGGAGCTATAGTAAGTAACTCCTAACCAGAGACTGCACTTGGCACCCTCTCCCACATCCCAATCCCCTGCCCCGAGTCACGGCCCCCTGCTATACTTATGCTGCCTCCCTGACCCTAACCTATTCCCTGTAAACCTGCTCCAGGTCAGAACCTTCTTATGAACCCAAACTCCTGCCCAGAACCCAAACCTCCTCCTGCATTCCATACCCTACCCAGAGCTCCCTCCTGTACCCAAAATCTATACCAGATCCCACGCCCCCTCCATTAATATAGTAGAAAAGTGCAGTCCTGTGACCACTTTTCCAAATTCTTGAATTGGCCCCCTTATCAAAAATTATTGCCCATCCCTGCACTATATAGACTTAGTTTGTCCCATACATTAACTTCTTAGAAATATAGAATCATATTTAGTTTTAAATGCTGTTTAGTCAGAAAATGAGATTGTCCATTCCTCTCCTTGGACTGTTTGACTGCAGTTGCTTATGATGTAATCTAATGTATCTCTTATCTTTTTGTTTAGGAGGACACAGCAATTGGAAACCTCCACAAGAGTGCAAAATCTTTAATTATCTTAATAAGATCGGATGTTTTTTCCTTCATCCACGTTGTGGTACCAGAAGAGAAGCAGCAGACTTTGCACTCTGTATGCATGTAAGTCACTGATCTATTTTTGTGGTTTGCTTTTTTGTTGATAAGATGCATGTATGTGTGTATAGTACAGTACGTTATAGAACAGTCATGATGAAAATCATCATACTAAAACTTCAGACGAGAAGGGTAGATAGTGGGTTTGACAAGGAAAAAGGAAAAGTTTTATAAATAGAAAAGCCTTCTGTAAGGGAGTTGTCTGTTTCAAAAAGTTGCCTGGAACCTGAATGTTTAGTTTAATGTCTTCCCCTCCCTTGCATAGGCTGGCCGTCTGGATGAGCATCTACCCAAACAAATTCCTTTCACCATTCTCTCTGGAGACAAAAGCTTTCTGGAACTGGAGGATCAGTTTAAGAAGACTCAGCGGACAGCTCACATCCTAAACCCTCATGATATTGATGGAGATATGATGTGTGCCTTACTAAACAGCATTTCAGATACTACAAAAGGTAGTGCATAAACAATAAGTAGAATCCAACCAATAAAAGCACATCACTGCTCATAGCAACAGCTATACTGTTACTTATGGTGTTTCTTTAATTAGTGTTCTCATTTAATGAATTGGTCTACAGATAAAATTGCATTTCTTGCTAATATGATTCTTGGCTAAGTTAAAAGCCTTTTGGGGGAAAAAATCACTTGGCACTTTTATCACATACTGCTTCTCAAGATTTACTTGGTCCTCTTGCAGTGCTAATGCTGAATAGAACTTACATGCAGCATTCCTACAGAGTTATTAGAAATGCTTCCTTTAGTTCAGGGCTATAAAGCCTTAAAAGGACTTAAATTTTAATTGCTGTTTGTAGCTCTTCTGGGCCAGGGTTGGAATGGTCACTGGAAATGAGAACTTGTCTATTCTATGCTCTCTGATACCTTTGCTCCCTCCCACCTCCACCTCCCCAGCCTGGTGGCATCCAGGGAGCACGGAACAGAAATCTCTGATTTGAATGAAGAGGAGACAAAAGTTGGACCAGTGTGAAAGATGAGAAGATTGGACAAGCAGCCTTGTGAGACACAGATTAGAGGAAGGAGAGAAATTGGCAAGTGGGAGGTTGGTGGAGGAAACAGGTACTGGTGGCAAGGTGAAGGGAGGCTTGGACTTGTTGAGTATGGAAACTGGGACTAGGAGCAAGTTAGTGGAGGGAAACCTATAGCCAGTTGTCTCTGGAGAGGAAGTAATAGCCGTTAGACAAAGAGCAGGCAAGAGATGGGTAACTGGGACTCAGTGATCGGAGACTGGGACAAGGAGACAGGGAAGGCTGAGGTGGAACACCTGAGATTGGATGAGGCTCCTGAAGGCTATTGTCTGTTTCCTCCCCCCCAAAAAAGGACATAGAGCTAGGAGCGGGGAACTGGAAGTGGCTGGGCAAAGACATAGAGCAGGGGTGGAGAACCTTTTTTGAGTCTGGGGGGCCACAGTGCAGGCACTCCCCAATGCTGAGGAGGTGAGGAGCCCTGAGCCTGAACGGCTGGAACCATGGCCTGAGGTTCCCCACCCCTGATATGGTGGGTATAATGCCATGTAATGTAATTTATGTTTTGGGGTTTTTTAACAGAAACCTAGGTAATCACGCACAAAGCTACGTTAAAATAATATTATTCAGGTTGCAAAGTCAAGCACGTAGAAACAAAGAAACCAAAGTTAAGGTTGCTTGTGCAGTCTTTAGTTTGAGAATATATCCTGGAGTGTTTTGTTTAAATGGGTCTATGTTAACAAGTAATCCAGAATGCTATGTACTACTGCCCTGCCAACCCTGCCCTCCTCAATATTTATTTATGACTCCACTAATCTCCATCATGCTGAAATGTTATCAGCAATTATTTTATGTTTTCATCTGGAAGTAAATATGTCATCACTTTTGGTCTAACACATCCTTATACAACTCCCTTAAACACTCCAGTTCAGTGGTGATTCTTCATTAACTTATTTTTGTGCTCTATCAGTTATCCAATTGCTAATCCATTTCATATTTTGTTGCTATTGTATATTGTTAACGTAATCAGAATGTGTTCTGTGGCATTAAATCAATCTTACAAGAGTCTAAATTTATTATATCTGCACTATCGTCTTGATTGTCCACTTTTGTAATCTCCTTGAAGAATGAAACTGTATTTGTTTAGCAAGACTTTTGTCTCCCTATAAAATAATGTTGACTGGTATTAATTACATTTCTATCCATTAATTCTTCATTAATCAACTACAGTAGGAGCTTTTTCATTATTTTTCCAGGATTGATATGAGGTTAACCTAGCTACTTACAAGGGCATTCCACTTGCCATTTTTGGACTCTGGCACTCTTCCAGCATTCTGTAATTGTGCAGGTATTCCAAGATTTATTAAAAATTAACATTAGTGAGCCAGAGATCTCCTTAGACAACTCTTCTAGGACTATTGTGTACCTGCTTACTTTAAAATGTTTACCTCTAATAGTACTTGTCTCATGGACTGGAAAGTTCTTTATCCTCATGTAATACAGGTACATAATTCTGCTTCTTTCAATTACAGAATAGAAATATTTATTTAATACTTGTGCCTCTTCATCATTCTTAATCATTTTACTATGTTCCTCTAGTAATGGTTTTATACCAATTCTAGGATTTCTTTTGTTCATAATAATGTGCTTTTAAAAACTGCTTATTTTTCTTGGCCCTGCCATCCAGATATATTTGCCCTGACCCTCTTGAGGCATCCCTTATGAATTTTTGGCACTTCATAACTTCTCATTTATATCAATTGTTATCTTCTCTTTTTCCCTTTGTTATTAAATATTCCTTTATTTCTAATTGTTGTTTTCACTTATCCTCGTTGTGGAATTTTGGCTCTTTGACCATCTACTAAACCATCCTTAGGTAGCTTGATTTTCATTTGCAACTGTTTCTCTAATTTTTTCCTCCCAGTTAAATCAAGGTAGCAATAAGAAAATCCTCATGCTGTAACACAGTGTCTAGTGTTGATGCAGAAGGATTCCTAATAATCAGCTTTGTCTTTCATTCTAAAGAGACATCTTCCGGTTCAGCTGAGTATTGCTGAAACAGTGGGGGGGGGGGGGGATAGTGGACTCACAAATGCTTTTGTCCCACATCTCCTTTCTCTGAGGCCCCATGTTTCAATGCCCAGTGATATTACTTTCCCCTGAAACAGCTGTGGCTAGTAGGGTTGTATCACAAGAAACAGAAGTTTTGAGGAGACATGCATCAATGTGGAGGGTAGCTAAAAGAGGAGAGCACAGATATGGTGGTGCCAGCTTTAATTTTTCTTCATAATCAATATTTTGGCACTAACAGTAGGGATTTCCAGCAATGCTTAGCAAAAGAAAGTCTGACTGACTGATTTCATAATATCCAGTTTAATCAAGTCAAGCACCTACAGTTTTCTAGAAAGCCACTTTCATGTGACTTATTGCTCTTTCACACATGTTAAAATCTTTTAATAAGTAGGGTGGGATTTTAAGACACTCCTACAAAATATTCTCATTCTGTTGCTTTGTCTATGTAACTTGGTTTCATTTATACAATTTGCATAATTATAGGAGAGTAGCACACAAATGCACTGTGACTGAGCTGCTCCTTGCCAATGGCGGAAATTTCTGGTGCCCCCTCTGCCACACGAGGGGTTAGGTACCCTGTCTTTTATACCACCTAATGTGTTTCATGACATCTGCTTTCTACCTCCCCTTACAGCTTGCTCAGGTGTCTCGGGCAAAACATCTCTTTACATCACTTCTGTCAAACCTTCTTATCCTGTGTTAAATCAGGATGTACCTGGGCTAATCTTCTGGAGTCTGTTTACATGCGTACCCAATATCTGTTGCCTCTTAGGAGTGTCTCCTTTTTTTATCAGTGCTATCGCTACCTTTGCCAAGTTCATTTCTCAGACAGTGAATTTATAAGCATCTGCTTAAAACATGGCCTAACTTTGACGATGGTTCAGGTCTAAGGTCTTTAACAAGGCCCTATGCTCCATGTTTTCTTCCCCTCTCTCCCCCTTCCTCTCCTCCCCCCTGACCTAGGTAAAAAAGACATGTCTTGTATTGCTGTATGAAGGAAACTAGATTGTAATTACTACAGATTAGGATGAGTATCATAGTCCAGCCTTTTTTATTAGTCCTGAGGATTCCCATTTTCACATCCCTGTAGAGCTAAACAGCTTGTATTGAGATTCAGAGAGAATAAGACCATTTCTAAAATGTCTTGACTTTCACTGTGAAAACCAGGATGCTCAGTGGACCTGGAGGTGGATAAGGGAGCAAGTGTATGAATACTGGTGTGATATTTATCAACCATCTTTGCCTAAAAGGCAAACTTCTGTGACTTGTAACTCAGGCTGTGTCTAGACTGTGGGCTTCTTTCAGAAGAAGCTTTTCTGGAAGAGATCTTCTAAAAAACCTTCTTCCGAAAGAGAGCATCCACACTGCCACAGCTCATCGAAAAAGCGATTTGCTATTTCGAAAGATAGCGTCCAGACTGAATGGATGCCATCTCGCATGTAAACTGTGATTACTATGGACTGAGTGGCTACCAGGGCACTTGTACTTTTTCCTCTTCCCTCTTCTTGCGAAATAACTCCCTCTTCCCCATCCACACGTGCCTTTTTCCGAAAGAGCTCTTTTGGAAAAAGGTGTCTTCCTCATAGAAAGAGGTTTACCAATGTCGGAAAAAACCCTCTGTTCTTTCAATTTTTCTTTTGAAAGAACACGATTGCAGTTCGCAACAGCCGTTTTTTCCAGAAAAAACTCTGTAGTGTAGACATACCCTCTGTGTAGTTTGACAGATCATTCAGCAACTCATGTTCATGGCAGCAGTAGGAGCTCCGGTATGGGATTGTAAAAAAGTAAGAGTTGTGTAGCAGTCAACTATGCTGAAAAAATCCACTAGTCAGACTGAGACAGATGTCTCTAGTTGTGGTGTCACAGCTGTAGCATGCTTTCTATGCAACATTTATTTCAGTTAAGGGTTAATTTTCTCCCATTGGTAATCCTCAGTTTGTCACCTTACTTCATTTGTGTTGGTAAAGACTGAAAGAGGGGTATTGCTGCTGCAGCAGCTATTATGTTTATTATTTGTATTACCATAGCATGAAAAAGCCCTAATCATTGACCAGTACCCTGTTTTACTTGGCACTGCACAAATACAGAATTAAGACTGTTCTTGCACAAAAGAGCTTTCAATCTATGAATAAGTCAAGAGACAACAAATGGATAGAAACAGAGGTGGAGGATACAAGGACATGTCTCTACAGCAGACTTAGGTCAGCATACAGCCACTACAGCAGTTAAATTTCTTTTGCGCCTCCACGCTGTGCTCCTTGTATCCATGGTCTATGTCCTCTCTAGGGATGTTAGCGAGTAGTCAACTGGAGTATTGACTACTTACTCCCCTCCCCCTCACTGCCTCTATGAGAGGAAGCAAGAATGAGGGGAAATAGGAGCCGGAGCTGGGGCGGGGGAAA